GTTGGACTCAAGAAGGAACACACCAAGGAACATCATAATTACATTAGCCAAGATTAAAATGAAGGAGAGAATCCTAGAAGCAGCAAGAGCTAAGGGGACAGTCACCTACAAAGGAGTTCCCATCAGACTGTCAGCTGATTTCTCAAAAGAGACCTTACAGGCAAGAAGGGGCTGGAAAGAGGTATTCCAAGTCATGAAAGCCAAAGATCTACAACCAAGATTGCTCTACCCAGCAAAACTTTCATTTAGAATGGAAGGACAGATAAAGTGCTTCTCAGATAAGACCAAATTCAAGGAGTTCATCATCACCAAGCCCTTATTATATGAAATGTTAAAGGGACTTACCTAAGAAAAAGAAGATAAAAAAGATGAACAGTGAAAGGACAGCAAACTCACAGTTATTAAGAACCACACCTAAAACAAAAGCAAACTAAGAGGATAGCTAGATCAGGAGCAGAACCATAGAAATGAAGATCTCAGGGAGGGTTAGCAACGGGGGAGTGGGAGGGGAGGGAAGGGGGAGAAGGTACAGAAAATAAGTAGCATAGACAGTAGATAGAAAATACATGGGGGGAGGGTAAGAATAGTAGGGGAAATACAGAATCTAAAGAATTTGAGACACATGTTCATGAACTAAAGGAGGAAATGGTGGGGGGGGGGTATGCGGGGTGGAGGGGAAGGGAGGGGGGGAATAGAGCAAATGTAATGGCATAATCAATAAAAAAAATAAATTAATAAAAAAAAAAGAAAACTACACAACACTGAAAAAAGAAATCAAGGAAGACACAAACAAATGGAAACATATACCGTGTTCATGGATTGGAAGAATTAACATCATCAAAATGTCCATACTACCCCAGATTCAATGCAATACCTATTAAAGTACCAATGGCATATTTCACAGACATAGAACAAACACTTCAAAAATTTATATGGAACAATAAATGACCCTAAATAGCAGCTGCAATTTTGAGAAAGAAGAACAAAGTAGGAGGGATCACAGTACCTGATAATCAAGCTGTATTACAAGGCCACTGTAATCAAAACAGCCTGGTACTGGCATAAAAACAGGAACATAGACCAATGAAACAGAAGAGAGAACCCAGAAATAAACCCAACTCTCTACAATCAACTAATATTTGACAAAGGGGCAATAACATAAAATGGAATAAAGATAGCCTCTTCAACAAATGGTGTTGGGAGAACTGGACAGCTATGTGCAAAAAATGAAACTTGAGCACCAACTTACACCATACACCAAAATAAACTCAAGGTGGATAAAAGACTTAAATATAAGCCGTGACACCATGAAAGCCCTAGAGGAGAACATTGGCAGGAAAATCTCAGATATTTCATGCAGCAACTTTTTTACTGATATGTCCCCTAGAGCAAGGAATATAAAGGAAAGAATAAACAAATGGGATCTCATCAAAATAAAAAGCTTCTGTATGGCTAAAGAAAACAGTATTAAAATAAAAAAAAACAATCGACTGTATGGGGAAACATATTTGCTAATGATACCTCAGACAAAGGTTTAATCTCCAAAATATACAAAGAACTTACATGACTCCACTCTAAGAAGACAACCAACCCACTTAAAAAATGGGAAAAGAACTTGAACAGACACTTCTCCAAGGAGGACATACAGAACATTCAGAGACACATGAAGAGATGCTCAATATTACTAGCTATCAGAGAGATGCAAATTAAAACCATAATGAGATACCACTTTAAACTGGTCAGAATGGCATCATAAACAAAGCAACAAAGAACAAAGGTTGAAGAGGTTGTGGGGAAAGGGGGACCCTAGTTCAGTGTTGATGGGATTGCAGTCTGGTACAACCATCGTGGAAAACAGTATGGAATTTTCTCAGAAAACTAAAAATCGACCTGCCTTTTGACCCAGCAATTTCACTGCTGGGATTATATCCTAAGAATCCTAAAACATCAATTTCAAAGAACCTATGCACCACAATGTTCATAGCAGCACAATTTACAATAGCCAAGAGCTTGAAACAACCTAGGTGCCCATCAGTAAATGAATGGATCAAAAAAATATGGTACATATATACAATGGAATTCTATGCAGCAGAAAGAAAGAAAGAGCTCCTACCCTTTGCAACAGCATGGATGGAACTGGAAAGCATTATGCTGAGTGAAATAAGCCAGGTGCTGAAAGACAAATACCATATTATCTCACCTACAACAGGAAGCTAAACAACAAAACAAACAAGCAAGCAAAATAAAAACAGAGACACTGAAATAGAGAACAAGGGGACAATGACCAGAGGGGAGAGGGGAGGGAATTTTAGGGGAAAAAGGGGATTTAGAAGAACTAGTATAAAGGACACATGGACAACAGCTAAGGGGGGTGGAAATGGGAGGGAGGTGGGGAGCACAGGGGGGTGGGCTGGGATGGGAGTAAAAGACAGAAAACTGTACTTGAAAAATAATTTTTTAAAAAAACTTCAGCTGAATCCAATAAATACTTACTGAGCACTATATTTGGCATTTTGGATAAATAAAAAGCAAGGGGAATTTAAAAAAAAAAGAAAATGGTTGTTCCACAGGGGAACAACCATGGTGGAGACTAAGCCAAGATTCAAGTCAACAATTTGGAACATAGGGAAGAAAATAGCATTCAATCAGAACAGCAAAAAGAAAAAAAGAATTCAAAAGAAAGAGAATAGAATAAGGAGCCTCTGGGAATTGCCAAACATACCAACATCTGAATCATAGGGGCGCCAGAAGGAAAAGAGGAAGATCAAGAAATTGAAAAATTATTTGAAAAAATAATGAAAGAAAATTTTCATAATTTGGTGAAGGAAATAGACATACAAGTCAAAGAAACACAGAGAGTGCCAAACAAGTTGGACCCAAGGAGGATCACACCAAGACACATCATAATTAAAATACCAAAGGTTAAAGATAAAGACAGAATCTTTAAAGCATCAGGAGAAAAGCAGAGTTACTTACAAAGGAGTTCCCATAGACTGTAAGCTGATTTCTCAAAAAAAACTTTGTAGGCTAGAAGGGACTGGCAAAAAGGATTCAACATGATAAAAAGCAAGGACCTATAACTTAGATAATTTCTATTAAGCAAAGCTATCATTTAGAATTGAATGGCAGATAAAGTGCTTCCCAGACAAGGTAAAAAGTGATTAACTCATCACCAAGCCATTTTTATATGAAATGCTAAAGGGAACTATATAAGAAAAAGATTAAAACTATGAACACTAAAATGGCAACAAATGCACTACTATCAACAACTGAACCTAGAAAGCAAACTAAGCAAACAAGCAGAATAGGAACAGAATCATAGACATGGAGATCATTTGGAGGGTTATTAGCTGGGAAGGGAAAGGAGGACAATGGAGGGAAAACATGCAGGGATTAAGAAGTACAAATTGGTAGGTACAAAATAGACAGGGGGATGTTAAAAACAGTATAGGTAATGGAGAAACCAAAGAACTTATATTCACGACCCATGGACATGAACTAAGTGGGGGGAATACTGGAGGGAATGGGGGTTTGGGGAAGAGGGGAGCAAAGGGGGAAAATTGGGATAACTGTAACAGCAAAATCAATAAAAATATATTAAAAAGCAAAAAATAAACTAATCCCTGAAAACATTTTCTGCAAGGCTAAATTCTTTTATGGAACCCAGCTGAGAAAGGCTGCTTCAGAACTTCCTTCAATGTATGGATATTTTGATGATAAAATCTCTTAGACCTTTCATTTGTCAGAAAGGTCTGTATTTTTGTTTTCTTTTCTATGAAAGTCACTTTTACTGGGTAAGTGATTCTAAACTGTGAGCATTTCTCTCTAATCACATGAGTTGGATATATTCTGGACAGTAGGCTTCTGTTCACACTCAGAAAAGATTGGCATAGGTAGGCAGCTGAGGTATAAACAAAAGAAGAGATATTCAAACACCTCTTTAAACTTGGGTTTTTCCATCTACAAAATAGATATATTGCATGATGGTGAATTTTAGAAGTGATGTATACATTGCACATGAAATACAGTACATTTCTATGATTTTTATGATTATTACTCCCAGTTTTCTCTATTAGTCTATAGTGTGTCCATAGATTTCATGGGTTTGAGTCTAGAGCCCTGGAGAATAAGGTTATATGCAGGAATTGTATAGAATACATGATAAATTTCTCATCTACTAAACCAGCCATTCAGATTACTGGAAGAGAAGAGAATCCGACTTTGTCCTCATCCCAAACAGGGAGTTTTCTTTTTCTCTTTGGACGACTAGATTACTTGCTACATTTCTTGAAGCTTTTAGGCACTATTTTTAACAAGGTTGTAGCGTGTTGTTATCATGCATTGGTTTGAATTTTGGCCAAATGCTGTATTTTGATTATAAGAATGTGATTAGTTTTCAAAGGTGTCATTTGAAAAAATCGGTTAGGGAATTCGTGCCTATGTGCTGCATCTCACTACCATCTGCCTGCGAGCAGTGAGTGCTTCGATGATGCCCAGGTGGCTGAGGAGTGGTAAGGCACAGCGTGCTCAGTGCCAGGCTTTGCTGTCACGCAGTCAGAAACGAGCCAAGTTTCTGTTCCTTCTCTGATCAGATGTGATGCACCAGGTCACCTCAGAGACACTCGGGCTGCAGGGAAATGCCTGGAGACATTGTTCACTCTCCTCTGCGTTCCCCTCCTACACATGCACAGAGCCCAGGCACTTGCCAGCCAGCATGTACGACAGTCTAGCACGGAGGCATGGAGAGAGCAGTAACTCTTAATCTCTCTTTTGTTGGAGAGCCTTCATTTCCTCCCGCCTAAGGACTAAGAAGCAGAAATAAAACATGCTTTCATTTTATTCATATCTGTCTTCAGGTACATTTAATTAGAGAATAAGAACATCCTAAAGATTCAGCTTTAGGTAAATTAGTCACTGCAGGTTTGAAGACTTTTTAAAATTGAAAAATAGGCATATTGATATACTATAATATTTATAATAATTTCCCTATTAAAAGTTATTTTCACATATTTACTATTGCAGGCCACAGTGTGTTTGGTGTTCTAGACATAAGTCCTCCTCCTGAAAACTGCTTGTAGATGAACGCCAACAATCCACAACAAAAAATCTTATGGCCTAGTGGTAAAGCTTGGATTTATCTGTGGTTTGGATGTATGAACCACTCTTGCTTCTTTCAAACAGGATAATCTAGGAAGAAAAAAAAGACTAACAGTAAGAAAGGGTAAGCCTGTTCAATACAGGATGTGACAGACACTACAATTTGATTTCTGGGGTGAAGGCAGATCTTAATATTTATGACACATAGAGGCAGGGGTGGGGTGACTCACCTCATTGTCTTCTGGATGAAGCCAGGCACCAGGAAGGTAAAGTGTTTCCTGTGGCCCAATGTACCAATATCGCCCAAGGTTACGTCCATTGATGAACACAAATCCATAGTTCCAGTTCTGGAAAGGATGGAGGCTTGAGACATGGGAACAGATTCACACTGGGAACAGAAAATCTAAGGCACTTGAGGAGTGAGAACAAATAGAAACAGACTCAGAGATCAGGATGACAGCTAAGGGGGGAGCATAGTGTGTGGAGGGATTGAGCAAAAGGAAAAAGGACTTAGGGACATGGACAACAGTGTGGTGCACTGGGGGAAAGGGAGTGCAAGGGAACAGGGAAAAATACAATGAAAAAGGACAGTCACTTTATGGCACTGAAAGTGAAAGTGAAACTGAGTTTACAAACCTCTAGAAGTTTGACCCTGCTGTACCTGGTCCACAGATGACAGAGAAAACATGAACCAAAATTTTAATGCTAATGTTACTATTGTTCCTGCCCTATGGTAGATAAAACTACATATGTTTTAACAGCAGGTCTTCTGCTTCCAGAAATAAGTACTGGGTAAGACAGAGGAACACTACTGCTGAGAGCAGCTATAAAAGCTACGTAATTTTTCATGTGCTTCAATACAATGAAGAGTTACAGGACCAAGGTCTAGGAGAAGAAAACTGAGAGACCAGGAGACATTGGGGCAGTTCTTCCACTAGAGACATCTGCCCATTCAGGAAGAAGTAGCTGAGCAGAACTTGTCATTGTCTCACAAGTTTTGAGGAACAAAAAGCAGATGCCAGGGAACATTATTAAATAAAAATACACTCTGGGTTAGGAACCTGAGAGTCTACACCATAGGAGAAGAGTAAACTAGAAACAGCCCAGTCACTGGGTGGATGCCTTGATTCAAGTTGTTTCAGTCTTTGCAATTGTAGTAGGTCTAGTGTCCCTGGTCACCTCCAGAAGTGGTTGTGAATCCTCTGACATTTTAGGCCTCAAATTATTTCTCGCATTTTTCATAAAGTCTGCACTCAGTTGAAAAAATAACCAAGCAGGTAGTGAGGAAACCAATATAATAAAAACAGAGAGGAAAAAAAAGACAAAATAGATACACCAAAAAAAAGATAATGAATTTACAAGTCACATGCTTTAAAATAACTATGTCAATAAATTGGTATGTCCAAAGAGATAAAAGGCAAGACTTAGAATGTTGACAGAGAAGTGTAAACTACACAAAAGCCCATAGTTTATTATCAATAAGACAAGAAATAACAAGTGTTGAGGAGGTCGTGGAGAGAAACACTCCCGCATACCTGGTGGGAATGTAAACTGGTACAGCCACTGTGGAAAACAGTACAGAGATTCCTCTAACAATATAGAGATTACCCAAAAATTAAAACTACAGTTACCATATGACCCAGTAATCCCTCTTCTGGATGTATACCTAAAAAGCTTGAAAACATTTATGCATAAAGATATATGAGCCTTTATGTTCACTGCAGCATTATTCACAGTGGCCAAGACATGGAGACAACCCAACTGTCTTTCAATGGATGGGTGGTTAAGAAGACATGGTGATATATACACTGGAACACTTCTCAGCAGTAAGAAAAGATGAAATGTGCCATTTTTAAAAACATGAATGAATTTTGAGAACATCATGCTGAGCAACGTAAGGTACACAGAAAAGGATACAAATCATATAATTTCACTCATGTGTGGAATATAAAACAGAAAGCAACAAATAAACAAACAAAACAAACAGACAAAAACAAACTCATTGACACCGAAAACCGTATGGCAGTTTGCAGAGGAAAAAGGGGATGAGGCTGGTTGAGAAGAGTAAAGGGGGTCAAGCATACGGTGATGGAGGGTGGACCTCTGGGGGATGAGTGCAACGTGGTATACAGACGATGTGTTATGACACTGCCCCAGTTAAACTCAAGTAATGTTATCCACCAGTGTCACCCCACAAATTTAGTTATGCTTTTTACAGATAAAAACAACTACAGTTATAGAATAAAAATATACAACTAAAACATGTAATAATAAAAATAATTTAGCAGATGTTTTGAATAGCAGATTAGATAAAACTAAATAGAGAATATAGATAGAGAATTACTTAGATGAGTAATGAGAAAAAGAGAAACTTTCCAAAATGAGACTCAGAGGGGAAAAAAAAGAAAAAAAAAAACACAAGACAGGGACAAAAAAGGATTACCTAGATGGTCTAACGTATAAAATTATAGTCTTTGAAATGCTCCAGTTAAAAGACAAAAATTACTGTACTACATTTTAAATAAAGCAGTTATATGTTATGTATAATAAAATCATCTAAAATATAAAAGTACTAAAAATAAAAGACAACAATGAAAAATTGTAATAGGTAAATATTAAGTAAAAGAAAGTTGCTGTAGCTCTAGTTATATCAGAAAAATGACATTAAGGCAAGAAGCATTGCTAGCAATAAACAGGAATATCTCCTGATGACAAAATTTTATATGAATATATATAAAATATGAGTATATATAAAATGAGTGTATTTTATATGAGTATATATAAAATGTAGAGAAGCTAAAAGCAAAGATTCAAAATAGTATATAAGCAACACTGAGAGAATAACAGGAGAAATAAAATTGTAGCCACAGTGGTAAATTTTCATACAATGCTTCAATAGCTAATAAACAAAGCAAATAGGAACCAAGACACAAACATTTGAAACAAGACAATTAACAAAATCAAACTAATTGATGTGTAGAATATTGATCTAAGACATCAGAATACACATATTCTTTCCACTATACATCAAAATCTCTATAAATTTGATCATATATTGTACTAAATAAGTGTTAACATTTTAAAGTTCTCAGGCCACAGTGAAATTAAATAAGAAATTGATAAGAAAAAGGTACCGTAAAATTTCCTCAATAATTTTATAAGCTTATGGATACAATCAAATCCATGCATAAATAAAAAGTAATAGCCTAAATATATATTTAAAAGAGTAAAGATTAAAATCAGTTATCTAATCACATATTTAAAGCAATAATAAAAAGAAAGCAGACGACTCCTGTGATAAAAAGTGAAATAAACAAAATAATAAAGGTAATGGCAGAAATCAAGCAGAGGAAATATATAATGCAGTAACAGTCACAAACATTCATTCTTTGAACAGTTAATAAAATTGTAATGTTCTAGTGAGACTTATGAAGAAAAAAGAAATGTTACTACAGATGATTTAAACATTAAAAATGAACAATTTAAATACAACATATTTGAAAATTTTAATGAAATGGAAAAAATCTTAGAAAAATGTATTTTATTTAAACTTTTAAGGAAACAGAAAATCTAAAGAGCACTTTAATCTTGAAGGAATTTTATCCACTCTTAACAAACTTTCCCACAAAGAAAATGTAGGCTCTAATAATTCCCTTGATGAAATCTAGCAGATACTTAAAAAATAATACCAATCTTATATAAATTCTACTTCTCAATTTATGAAGGCATTAAACCTTGGTAATAAAACCTGACAAAGAAGACTCCAATCAAGATGACAGTGTAGATAAACATGGTACTAACATCCTCCCATAAGCCACATCAAAAATACAACTAAACTACAGAACAACCATCCTGCAGAACTGTCTGAAATCTAACTGAATGGAAGTCTTACAACTAGAGTTTTAAAGGAGCAGCCATATTCAGACTGGTAGGAGGGGTGGGAACACGAAACAGACCGGACCCACACTCACACATGGCAGTTTAGTATCAGAAGGGATATCTTGGCTGCAGATGTCCTCCCTAAGGAGGTAGGGGTCCCAGCCCCACACCAGCTGCCCCATCCCACCACACCAGGCCTCCAGTGCCAGGAAGACAAGTCCCCATAACTTCCAGCTGTAAAAACCAGTGAGGATCGTGGCTGAATGAGACGAAAGGCTTCTGGAGTCCCAGGCAGTTCCTCTTAAAGGGCCCGCACAGGAACTTACTCAGACTCACTCCCTCTGAGCTCCAGCACTGGGACAGCAGCTTGAAAGGCACCAGGGACATGCAGAGGAACTAAACTGTCCGACATTGGGGAAAGAGCTGAGCAGGGCAGGGGCAGCTCTCTGCCAGACAAAAGTGATAGCAGAGGTCACTGTTCCTTTTCTAAGACCCCCACCCTCCACAGAGCCAACAGGTGGGTGCTATATCTGAGTCTCCATCAATGTGACTCACACTGTTTGCCCCACACTGGTGGTTCCCTGAGATGTGGCTGCACCCAACTTGCAGGTCTAATGGAGCCATTCCCAGGGCTTTTCTATACAACTGGCCTTTCTTGCCTCATGCTTCAGACTTTCCTGAAATCCCTCAAACATGCAGCATCTGGCCCCTACCTCTTGCTAAGTAGCCCCAGGCCCAGCACTAGCAGCAGGCTGGCCTTCAGTTGCAACTTGGTCTCTTCTGGATACCTCCAAGTCCATCACAATTAGCAGACATCTGCAGATTGCTCTGTAGCTTGTGCTGGTGGCCTCAGGCAGGGTGCAGGTGGTGGCTGATGTTGTACCTCCCAGGATGTCCCAAAGCCAGTGCACCTGGTGGACAGCTTCTGGCCATGTTGTATTTCAACCCTACCATCTCCACCAGTGACCCACTGAGGAGGCAGACACAGTGAGCATCAAAGCCCCTCTGAAGCTGTAGGCTTGACTCCAGCACAGCAGCTCCTCTGTTGTAGTTGCAGCTGATCCTCAGCTGAACAGCCTGGGAGCCAATCCTTCCCAGGCACGCCAATAGCAATCACGGTTCTACTGCAATGGGACAATGCACACAGCCCACAAAGGAGCATGTTTGGAGTGCCCATCTCGGGTAACTTGGAAACAGGGCCCTACAGGACATCTACTACACAAGGCCATTTTAACAAGTTTGGAAAACATAGCAGCTCTACCAAACACATTGAAACACACATGGGGGCAGACACAATGTAGAGATCAAGAAACTGGTTACAAATCAATGGCCACGAGAAATCTCCAGAAAAAGAGCTAAATGAAATGGAGGCACACAAACTACCAGATACAGAGTTCCAAACAATGGTTATAGGATGCTCAAGGAACTTGGTGAGAACTTCAACAGTATGCAGAAAGACATAGAGACCATACAAAAGAACGAGTCAGAAATGGAGGATATGCTGAGTAAAATGATGAATAATTTATAAGCAGTCAACAGTAGAGTAGATTATGCCAAAAATTAAATCAGTGACTTGGAATAGCAAAAAACACCCAACTAGAATAGAAAAAAAAAAAAAGACAAAGAATTTAAAACTATGAAGATAGTGTGAGGAGCCTCTGACACAACTTCAAGTTTACCAACATTTGCATCATGGGGGAGCTAGAAGGAGGAGAGAGAGAGCAAGACACTGAAAACCTATTTGAAAAATAATGGCAGAAAATTCCTTTACCTAATGAAGGAAATAAGACCTATAAGTCCAAGAAGCACAGATTGTCCCAAACAAGATGAAGCCAAAGAGGCCTACCCCAAGACACATCATAATTAATATGCAAAAGATCAAAGACCACCCTAGTGCACTGTTGGTGGGAATGCAGACTGGTGCAGCCACTGTGGGAAACAGTATGGAGCTTCCTCAGAAAACTAAAAATAGAACTGCCTTTTGACCTGACAACTCCACTCCTGGGATTATGCCCTAAGAACCCTGAAACACCAATTCAAAAGAACCTATGCACCCCAATGATCATAGTAGCACAACTTACAATAGCCAAGTGCCAGAAACACCCTAAGTGCCCATCAGTAAATGAGTGGATCAAAAAGCTGTGACACATTTACATGATGGAATACTACACAGCAGAAAGAAAGAAGGAAGGAGCTCTTACTTTTTGTGACAGCATGGATGGATCTGGAGAGCATTATGCTAAGCGAAATAAGCCAGGTAGTGAAAGACAAATACCCTATGATCTCACCTATAAAAGTGGAATCTAATCAACAAAATAAGTAAGAAAACAAAATATAACCAGAGACATTGAAATGAAGAACAAACTGACAGTAACCAGAGAAGAGGTGGGAGGAGATTTTTTTAAAAGGTTAAAAATAAAGAGAAAATCCTAAAAGCAGCAAGAGAAAAGCAGTTAGTTACCTACAAGAGAGTTCCCATAAGAATGTCAATTGATTTTTCAACAAAAACTTTGCAAGCTATAAGGAAGTGGCTATAAATATTTAAAGTCTTGAAAAGCAAGGACCTGCAACCAAGATTTCTCTACTCAGCAAAGCTATCATTTAGAATCAAAGGACAGATAAAGAGCTTCCCAGACAAGAACATGCTAAAGAAGTTCATCACCCTCAAACCAGTATTATAATAAATGTTAAAGAGTTTACAATAAAATGGCAATAAATACTTACCTATCAATAATTGAGTCTAGAAATCAAACAAACACATAGAACAGAAACTGACTAATAGATACAGAGAACATTCTGATGTTTGCTGGATGGGAGAGGGGTTGGGGAGATGGATGAAAGAGGTGAAGGGATTAAGAAGTACAATTTGGTAGTTTCAGAATAGTCACAGGGATGTAAAGTACAGCACAGGGAATACAGTCAATAATATTATAATGACTATGTGGTGTCAGATGGGCATGAGATTTATCAGGATGATCACTTAGCAAGTTACATAATTTCTAATCACTGGAATGTATGCCAGAAACGAATATAATATTGTATGTCAGTTGCAATTGAAATATTAAAAAATTGTTTAAGAAAAAACATGACAAAGATATCTCATTCATGAACATAAATAGAAAATCAGCCTCAATTACTTTTAATAGCCAAACACTGAAAATAATACATAGGGCTACCAACAGTAGAATTGTTAAACAAAATATTAATATGATATATTTATAAAATGAAATCCTGCACAACTGTGAAAATGAACGTCACTAATGGTTGAATCTACGATGTAGAACAGAAGAAACTGTATAGAATAAAGAAAGCAATCATTTCTATTCATATGAAGCCGGAGGAGGAAACACTAGATGAGAGCCTTAGGACCACAGAGAATGGCTTCCTCGCAGAGAGAGGGGCAGTTGTCACAGGGAGAACCGGCGACAGCATTTTTCATCTCAGCAGTAATTATTTGGTGTTCACTTTGAGATGTTTATTCAACTCTATGCTCATGTTTTGTGTACCTGTGCTATCTATGCGTGTTCATATATAAAAGACATATGAGGTAAAAATTACCCCCAAAGAACAACAATTTGCAGAATATAATGGATGAAATGATCACATTAGTGCAAAAAGTGACTGTGTATATGTTTTGGCAAAATTACATACAAAATCACACACTGCTAGTGGTGCTTACTTGTAAGAAGTAGAGAATAAGTACAAGGGGGTGAGTTTCAAGGAAAACTTCCACCATTTGTTCCCTATACCTGCTATTATTTGAGTTTTTCCATTGCATTTTAAAGTATTATTTTCTCATCACCAAAAATTTTAACATGAGTAGGAAGATAATCAGATACTCCATTATGAAAAACAATTCTGAAATTATAAGGACAGTAGTTTATAAGAGACAGGTTTTAGTGGAAGCTCCAAAGTTCCCCAAAATGAGGTTTTTTTTTCAACTACAGTTTACATTTGATATTATTCTATATTGGTTTCAGGTTTGCAGCATAGTGGTTAGACAACCATGTACTTTACAAAGTGGTTCCCCCATATTTCAAGTACCTGCCTGGCCCCATACATAGTTATTTCAATATTATTGACTATAGTCCCTTTGTTGTACTTTACATCCCCATGACTATTCTGTAACTACCAATTTGTACTTCTCAGTCCCTTCACCCTTTCCACCCAGCCCTTTGCCCCCTTCCCTTCTGGCAATTGTTTGAAAAATGGTAACTTTAAAAGACTGGAACATGGGGGATGGCTTGTTTGGCAATGAGGAAGAAAGGGGAAATATTCTGGCCAGGAACATTATGGCTTTGCTTCAAGACTCATTAAGAAAGAATAGGTGCAACAAAGAAAAACAATCAAACAAAAAGAAATTTTAAAAAAAATTTAAGGGAAAGACAGAATAGGTGTTTGAGATACCAGAGCCAAAGAGAGCATGCACTCACCGGCAGTTTCAGGAAGGTGTCCTTAGGCTCGGAACCAGCCTTCAGTGTTCCAAGGTAGAAGGCAGGGCCCAGGTAGCTGTTTGGGACACGTCTCCAGGTGGCAGAGCGGAGCCTGGAGAAAGGGCTACACCTTGAGGGCTAGGAAAGCCCTTTCCCAAATCTAGTCTCAATATTGACCCCAGATTTCCCAGGCAGGGACTCAGATTCTGTTTCAGTGGGACAGAGCAGACTTCACTAGACTAGAGCCAGGAGACTCGTTCTGGAACTCCAGGCCTGATTCTAAGGGACTCTACACTGCTGAGCAAATCACTGTAGTTCCCTGAATCGTGGGCTCTTGGTCTGCCAAGTGAAGAGTGTGAAATCTCTGAGTTCCCCAATCCTTTCAAGTGCCTTCTGGGAGTAAGTGGGAACATAACCTCTCAAAGAAGCTCATTTTCATTTCCAGGGAATAGATTGTGAAGCCCTCCAGGGGAATGTTGTTGACGGTAACAGATCCAGTTAATCCTGCAGGTGGGAGGTAGGAAGGAGAATGTGGTTGGCGTTGAATATTCTCAGTGTCTGGGACAAAGCAACACAAACTGTATGCCTTCTGTGACAAGGGCTCAGATGTGAGGGCAAACCCTTGTCTAACTTAATATGACTGCAAGTTTCTTGCTGTATGGTTTCATACTCCCGAGGAGGTGCTCCACTTAACATCAAAGCTTTCCCTGAAATTCCTGAGAGGGGTTCTGCCCTGCTTGTCCTGAGACAAGCCAGCACCCAGCATAACTGCCCCATGTTCCTACTTTGGAGAACTGAAGGGGCCAGGACAACTAAGAGGAAAGAAGTTGTATCTTTGGTCCTAGAACCCAAGTCTCCCACTGCCTAAATGGCTCCTTTTTCCTCCTAGCACAACATAGGCCCAGGCTTAGGGTCAGGTCACCATGGAGAGAGATTGCACCCTGTCTCTCAGGTCTAGAGCCCACCTTTCTGCTGAAGTTGAATTTTCCATGAATAATTTACTCGTCCTTGATTCTCCACCAGGATCCTCAGAAGCTGACATCCCTGTTTGGAATAGACCAGTACATGGGAACTATAACCACGCAGGGGTTTTACTCCAGAACCCAGTCTTTTTCTGAGTCCCAGATGGAAAGGCAAGCAAAAGGCAAGCAAATGCAGGGAAGCACCAGAGCCCAGCAGTCCTCCCTCTCTCGTAAGGTCTCTGTGTGCTCCCGTTCCACACTCAGTCTCTCCTGCCTTCTGCTGGTCTGCCTTAGCAAGGCAGAGAGACTCAGCTGTGCCTTCGACAGGGCCCAACTAGAGGCTGATGGCAGACTCCGGGCTGAATGGGGAAACACCGTTCTCATGGAAGCAGTGTGCTTCCTGACGCACCGGGGCCTGGGAGATGCAGCTGTGCTTGTAGCGCTAAACAGACACTTCCTGCTGGTACCCAAGATGAGAAGCGATCCCCAAGAGCAGTGACAGAGAGAAGAGGCAGGCTGTGTCAGAAGCAGGCTGTGTTTGCATTTGAGTGAGAGGTCTAGGACGGCATCTAGACTCTTGAATTACATACCCTGACTTCAGGAATGTTCACGTTCTGGTTATCACCAGCCAGAATGCCTATGCTTTTCTCATTCAAAAACACCTGCAAGAGCACAGCTGGTGTCAGACTGGTAGGCCCCCCTGAGGAGGGGAGAAGGAAGGTTTGGGAGGATGTTTGGGAGGAGGCTATTTTAAGGATGGAGCAGCCTTGGCACTCACAGGTGGCTAGAAGCTGACGCAGAGACCCCAAAAGACTTAGATTATGATAAGGCAGAAAGTAAGTCTCCTTGGTTTGACTTTGTATTTCCAATGCCTCACACATAGTAGGTGCTTAAAAATACTGTCAGTCAAGTTGACCAGTGGCCGACTACCCTCTCCTACAGGAGATTTAGGCTGAATGTTCTGCTTACCTGCACAGACAGCCTGCTGACCCTACCTGTGCGGTATCATGAGCATTGGCACGCAGCAGACCTCCAGAGCAGATGGACGTCTCATACAGGATGAATCCATAGGACTGACCGCTCCCATTGTATATGGGAAGACTCTCCATGTTGACTGGCTTACTGGACACAATTGGCTGTGAGAGACATGGCAGAAACAGGATCCAGGGCGATGCGAAAGCAGGCTCCTTCTTCCTAAGACCCTTGTCATTTCTTTATTGTAACTCCTAATGATCCCCAAGGATCTCTGGGTAAGAAACACTGAATAAATGCTAGGTGATGACTCTTGTGCTTTGTGTTTCCACTGACCAGGGAACTGGGTTGGCGGGGGCATGGTAGAGGGAACAATGGCAGTAATTGTGAGAATTAACGGAGACGATATGCTGTGCTCTAACACACCTGAAATCAAATAATGAATTATGCACTAAACAAACATTTATTTAGCATCTGCAAGGTGTCAGGCACTTCTTTTTATGTAAAATGGCAATAGAAGAAGTAAAATCAATATGGACTCAAGAACTGAAAGTTTCCAAACAATTTCCATCCTTTCTTTAAAACAGGACAGGAGGTCTAATGTTAAAGGGCAAGCAGGCACCCGTAGAAGTTAAATGATTTGGCTTAGTGGATGGTGAAGAGTCAGAAACTCACTTTCACAAGTTCCTAGCTCAGCAGCCTGTCCCATGTGGATCATGTCCCCACAAGAGCATTCACCGAGTGGGCTCATCAAGCTGAGAAGCAGGATTCTCCAATATCCCGCCTTGCCTCCCTCCCCCACTCACTCTTCAGGTTCAAGCCCCTTCATAGTCCCCCAAAAAGGAGCCTGTGGGTCTTACCCCATAGTTCTAAACTGGGACAAAATGCAGAGAATTAGTTTCCACACTTTCCATTAAAGCCCTTGAAAGAATCTCCACTCTGTGGCCTAAGGCCTCTCCCCCTGTTCCAGTGTCCAAGCAGCACTCACCTCATGTAGGTACTGTAGGGCATCCCACAGCGGCAAGTAAAGGGATGGCCTCACCGAAGGGTACACAGCCTTAGGAGTGAGCTCAGGTAAGGGGGGCAAAGGAATTGCTGCAATGAAAATGGGCCTGAAACAACTGCTGCCTTCTCCAAGCCTCCCCATCCCTGTACATAAACGCTCGTATCCTGGAGCCAACCAGAGAAATAGGTCCTAGCCTGGCACATGGCTATGCTCCTACAAGAGTGATGAGGAACTGTGAAGACCTAAGTCAGAGCCATTTTGTGTGCACAGAAAGCCAACAGACACAGACACTGAAGAGGCGGTGGCATTGGTAGACTGAAGGCTCTTGGGGAGCAGGGGCTCTGTGCTATGCCTTTGGCAATGCCAGTGCTTACCTAGTATCTACCACATGGTAAACAGTTAATTAACTTTACTTAAATAAATAAAATTAAATAGAATTATTTTTGCTATTGTATGTAAGGTTATGCTGTATTACATCATATTAAGAGCTTTACAAACCATAGCTTAATTCTCACAGTCATTATAAAGAAGATGGATATCACTGTTTTTGTGTTTTGAGGAAGAAACAGGTTCAAAGGGCTTAAAAACACTCATGCAAAACCACACAGCTTTCATGTGGGAAAACCAGAATTTGAACCTGCTACCCTTGCTCTGAAGCACTTCATTAAGCTTATGACCATAGGAAAAATCCCTCCCTTTCCCCACCTTTCCAATTCATGAGGAGGGCCAGTACTCAAGTTAGAATGGTTGCTGAGTACCTAAGACAGATCCCAAGAGTTTTCGAAGCTTGAAATATTTTTCTGTGTAATCCCCGGCCTCTGTCAGCACAGCATCATAGTCTGCAAGACATCAGGACACTGTCACTGGTCAGTCAGTCCCACCCAGAAGACCATGCTCCCACACTTCTGGCACAGAACAGGCCAGGGACACCAGCAGGAGACACAAAACCCATCTTTGCTGCTCCTGGTCTGGTGCACCAGCTCAGACCAGGTTGTGGAGCACTACTGCCAACCTAGGAACACTCCCTACAGCCCTTCCTGGGACCCAAGGGCTGCCATGACACTGGGCCCACCCTCTGTTTCACTTTCTAATGGATATGCTCTTCTTCACACAGTCTGGATCACCCAGCTGTGTCCATCAATGCCCCTCCAGCAATCACCATTTGTAATCTGTCTCTTGGAAGGGTCAAGTCAACGGGTCAACATACATGATGGTGGAAGCTGAACATTCAGTCATGGGCACACCATCTACTGCAATGATAGCCTGATGGGGCCTTTATGAACAGCACTGAAGAAAAATAGAGTGAAAAATCCTCTATGCTCAGCATATATTATAGCTCAAAAACCCAGTGATGCCAGACTATGTTTTTGGAGCATCCTCTGTTGTGGTCCTGCAACACCTACACTGACAGGTGGCCAAATCAGTGAGCACTTGCCATAGCTGGTGACCACACCCCTGTGTGTGTCAAAATGTGTGGCCCCATTCATGAAACCAAAGTTGGTTCCACCATGGAACATGTATACGTTGAAGGAGATCTCAGATTCGATAAATTCAGACACAGTTTTTTCAACATCTGTAGAGGAGAGAGATGAGAGTAGAGAAAATTAAAAAGCACTCATTTGGTAAGACATATGCTCTCCCATGTTCACTGCAGCGTTATTTACCATAGCCGAGATCTGAAAGCAGCCCAAGTGCCCCCCAATGCACCACTGAACAAAGACCATGTTGTACAGTTATACAGTGGAATATGACTCAGCCATTAAGAAGAACAAAACCTCACCATTTATGACAACATGAATGGACCTATAGGGTCTTGTGGTAAGTGAAATAAGTCAGACAGAGAAAGACAAATACTATCTGATTTCACTTACACATGAAAACTAAAGAATAAAATAAATGAACAAAACAGAAACAGACTCATAGATACAGAGGACAGATTGATGGTTGCCGGAGAGGAGAAGGATTGGAGGACTGGGTGAAAAAGGTGAAGGGATTAAAAAGCATAAATTGGCACTTACAAAATAGTCATGGGGATGTAAAGTACAGCATAGGAAATATAGTCAATAATATTGTAATAACTGTGTGGTACCAGATGGTACTAGACTTATCAGGGGGACCACTTAGTAAACCATATAAATGTCTAACCACTATACTGTACATCTGAAACTAATATAAAATACTATTACTTGTCAAAAATAAATATTCAATATTATTAATAAAAATTTAAAAGAAAACATAAGTTGCTAGTGTAATCCTATCATTCTAAACCTCACCCCCACAATCAACTTAATTATTTTGTCCTTCAACCTCCACAAGACTGTAACCAGAAAGTAGGTGGGGTTGGACAGGACCGCTGGCAGCAACCACATCTTGTTTCCTAGAACATTTTTTAGAAATAATTTTCCTGAGAGTATGGACATAATTCTACCTCTAACTATAGCCTAAGAACCCTCATGTCGTTTAAATATCTAATGTTCATTATATTTTTAAAATTGTACAAATAATTAGTAAACCCGCATGACTACCTTCCAGGGCACTGCCTGTAGGGACACTGGTTTAGAAGGTCTGCGATAGTGCACAAGTGGCCATTCTCCATTTTTTAGGCAGAAATTCTGGGTTTTGTCACCATCGTCTAACAGGTGTGCTCGTCTCTGCACTGGTTGTAAATAAGGGAGAGAGGGGTGGTTAAAGTTGGCTGTGGGGGCCAGTCCAGGCTGTGCTCGTCCCTGCCCCTGTGATCCTGGATGGCCTGCTCTCCTCTCTCAGAGCCTCTTCTGCTTCTTTTGTTACCGGCATGTCCCAGTGCCTAGTAACTCAGTCACAGGACTGATGGGACAGTTAACTGAGAGTGTGGGTAAGAAACGTGGCATGGTCCCTGACATGTAAGTGATCGGAAAAATGTTTGGTGGGGTGGGCGGGGGAGTTCTATTTTCAGGCCAAAGCAGACTTATCTCAGTCAGTTGGTACTTTCCAATGGTTCTCTTTACTTCAAGGACATGTGAGCTTGTTTTCATAATAGCAATAGCAAAATATTTTCAGTAGCAAAATTCTTTTATTAACAACATCTGCCAGGCACTGATCTGAGTGGGTTCTGTGGGTTGCCATATTTAACCTGCACAACAACCCTATGAGGTAAATTACATAATGATCTCCATTTTTGGATGAGGGCACTGAACCTGAGAAGGGGTCAGCGGCCAGTGCGGCTGAGTGGGGATGGAAACCCTGACCTCTGGCTCCAAAATCTACTCTCTCAGGCGCCACTGCCTGTCTACCAACAATGACAGCCACATCCTGACAACTCCCCAGCAATGGCCTGCATGTTTCCCAGAGATAGTTAGGAATTTTGGCAGATGCATCCCCTCCTTCAGGTATGTTGTTTTGCCACAGATGCTCTCGTGACCACCCTGACTCCCCTCTGCAGGTCTGTCCTTGTCTTTCTATCACTGCGTCCTCTTTGTCAGATACTGTTTTACCTCTTCATTATCTGCCAGCTCCTCTAAAGTGCAAGCTCCCTGGGAGCAGGAGAAGGTAACTTTTCCCGCCAGTGCAGCTCCAGGCCTCGCCCTGCCGCTGTGCATCAAATGTGCTGAATTAATAGTCACGGTCGAATGAGCAGAGTAGCCAGCACAGAAGTGTGTGAAGGACCCACAGCCCAGGGCCGTGTCTGCTTGGTTGAAGCACTGAGAAACACTTACCGTTTGCATTTTTAACCATGTGTTCACCTCCCCATGTGTCGAACCAGCCAACCCAGTATTCCATAATCATAATGGGCTTATTTCTCTAGAAACAAACCAAACACAATACTCACAATAAGAAAAAAATCAGAAAAGCTGCATCCAACAGATAAAAGTTTAGGAACTTGTGCTTTTCACTTTTTTCTAAGTCAGCCCAACTCCCACTCACCCACTGCCCCTTGGTTTCTCCTCCTCCTGCACATTCATGGTCCCCAGTCCCCTTCCCACTTGAAGCACCTGCCTGCCCCAGCCAGAGAGCACCACCTGTAATCCAGCCTTGTCACAGGGGAAGTTGGTATGGAAAGAATCAGCTTTGGATACGTGAAGACATGATTGCAATTCCTCATGGAGAAACTGGGGCTCAAAGATTACACTGCTGGTAAATTCAGAGACACAGCTCCAGTCCAAGTCTGAGCCAAATTGTCAGCCACTACAGTATGTTGCCTACTAATAATACCATTAGGAGGGAGCCAGAGTGGCAGAGTAGGTATATGTTTCACTCCCTTCCTCCCTGGACCACATCAAAATTCCAACTAAATCATGGAACAGTCAGCTCGGATCACCATCCGAAGACTAGCTGAATAGAAGTCTGATAGCTAAGGATATACAGAAGAAGCCATGTGGAGACTGGTAGGAGGGGTAGAGATGAAAAAAGGGCAGACCCCACATTCACACGTGGCAGCTGAGAATCAACAGAAACATCTCAGCTGCAAAGGTCCCCCTGAGGAGCAAGGGGTCTCAGCCCCACACTGAGCCTGGAGCGCCAGAGCTGGGAAAAGAAGCCTATATAACATCTGACTCTGGAAATCAGCAGGGACTCTGTCTGCCCAGGTGAGAGGGAGTCTGCTGGGAACCCAGGTACCCTCTCAGAGGACCAGTGCCAGAATCCCATTCACAGGTACTCTCCCTGAGCTTCAATAGGGGGACAGCAGCTCAGAAGGAACCCGGTCATAAAGGGAGAGACTGAGTTGTGTGACTTTTGGGAGAGGCTGGAGGGACAGCTGCTAATGTCCCTTGTGTTGAATCCCCCTCCCAGACCTCACACACACGCCACCTTTCCTGAATCAAGCCCTCCCCTCCCTACAGCATCAGCCTAGTGAGATGCACTATTCCCACCCTGCTGACCCTCTGAGGCCCTGCCCTGGCAAGCTCCCATAAGGCCATGGGATCTGCTGGCAGCAGAAGCCTGGGCCTGCATCGCAGTCTTCCTTGAAAAACTGGAATTCTGGGCAAGGTCAAAAGGTGCCAGAGACCCACGGGGAGAGAGTAAGTTGTGTGGCTTTAGGAGAAGGGTTGTTTTCCTGGCATGTCTGAACACTGTCATCATCACTAAGCTGGGCCCACCCTCACCCCACAGCATTAGCCTGGTAATCTACACAGGGACCACCCTGCCACTTCCAGAGGCCGCGCTCTACCAGGCTAATGCAAGGCTGTAGAGTCAGCTGGTAGTGACCAGCCTGGGCCTGCACTGCAGTCCTTCTTAAAAACCCTCAAGGGACTCCGGGCAAGCTCAGGATTGCCAGACACACAGAAACAGAGGCTGAGTTCTGCGGTTTTGGGGTGAGGATGTTGTTCCATATACCTGACAGGTGCCACAGTTCCTGCACAGAGCCTTCCTTCCAGGTGGCCACATCCATCTTAATCTCTTTTAGCCTGATGACTCTCTAAGACCCCTCTGCAAAGTCCACAGGCCCCAGGCGTAAGATGGCCGGTCTTGGTGAACCCTAAGACTCTTGCTAAGTGGCCTCAGATCCAGCACTGGTGCCACTTGAATCTGTACTAACCTGGTGAACACCACTTACCTCCACCTGGTGACTCATTAGGAAACCACCTGAGGCTTTTTCAGTGAGTGAGCCTAGCAGGCTACTGGCAGGTAGCAATAAGTCTTGGGAAAACTTGAGCCTTTTGCTGACCTGCCCCAGGCCTGGGATTAGTGGCAGATGAACTCAGTATGTTGCTCTGCCCCTTTAGATGTGCCCAGGCCCAGCAAGGGCAGCTATGAGCCATGGGCCTCTTTGTAGCTCCAAACAGAAAGCCCAGGGCTGGTCACAGGCAACATCTGACATTGACCTGCAGCAGAGTCCTTCCTGAGAAGCCTCAGGACCAATACACCTGCTGGCTCTCTTTGGAGTACAACCCAGTGCACCCCACTCTCCCAGTGAATAGGAGACCTTAGCAGGAACCAGACCCAGCAGGGACAAATCTTACTTTCTGAGGTGAGTCCCCACACAACAGCTCACACACTGTGGTCAGGGTCAAGCCTTACAGTCAGCAAGCCTGAGGGTCAACCCCACCAACAGATGGGCCCCTAGCAATCAAGGCCCAGTGAGGTAACCCACAAAAGAGACACTCCTGAAATGCCCAGGTCAGGTATTCCAGGAGGCTGCACCACTCAGCCCTACAGGCCACCTCACCAAGACTGGCTGACATAGCAGGTCCACCTAATACATAGAAACAAACACAGAGAGGCAGCCAAAATAGGGAGGAAAAAATATCCTAAATTAAAAAAAAAACAAACAGATGAAATCTCCAGAAAAAGAACTAAATGCAATGGAGGCAAGCAATCTACCAGATACGAACTTCAAAATAATGGTTATAAGAATGCTCAAAACACTTAGGGGAAGAATGGAAGAACTCAGAGAAAATGTCAACAAAGAGATAGTTAAAAAAGGCAGAAATCATGAAAAGGAACCAGTCAGAAGTGAAGAACACAATATCCAAAATGAAGCACACACTAGAAGGAATCAACAGTAGATTAAAAAGATTAGTGGGCCCTGACTGGCATAGCTCAGTGGATTGAGCATGGGTTGCAAATCAAAGGGTTGCCAGTTTGATTCCCCATCAGGGCACATGCCTAGGATACAGGCCAGGTCTTCAGTGGGGGTGGGTGAGAGGCACCCACACATTGATGTTTCTCTCCCTCTTTTTCTCCCTCCCTTCCTCTCTCTAAAAATAAATAAAATAAAATAACTCTAAAAATTAGATTAGGGGATCAAATCAGTGATTTAAAAGACAAGGTGGCAAAATAATACATAATCAAAGAAGTGAAAAAAGAATTTTTAAAAATTAGGATGGTTTAAGGAGCCTCTGGGACACCACTAACCATAACAAAATCTGCAATATATGGGTACCAGCAAGTGGAGAGAGAAAGGAATCGAGAAACTCTTTGAAGAAATAATGCCCCAAAACTTCACTAACCTAGTGAAGGAAAAAACACACCAACAAGATAAACCAAAGACGCCCACATCATTGCACATCATGATTAAAATGGCAAAAGTTAAAGACAAAGAGAATCTTAAAAGCAGCAAGATAAAGACAGTTAACTAAAAAGGAGCTCCCATAAAACTGTCAGCTGATTTCTCAACAAAGATTTCTCAGGCCAGAAGGGTTGGCACAAAATATTCAAACTGATGAGAAGCAAAGACCTACAACCAAGATTACTCTACTCAGCAAGGATACCATTTAAAATTGAAGGAGAAATAAAGAGCTTCTCAAGTAAGAAAAAAAAATGAGAAGAGTTCAGCACCGCCAAACCTATAGTACAAGAAAGGTCAAAGGAAATTCTTTTAAAATATAAAGGGAAGCCCTGGCTGGTGTAGCTCAGTGGAGTGAGTGAGAGCTGTGAACCAAAGGGTACCCAGTTTGGTTCCCTGTCAGGGCACATGCCTCGGTTGCAGGCCAGGTCCCCGGTGGGGGCCACATGAGAGGCAACCACACACTGATGTTTCTCTCTCTCTTTCTCCCTCCCTTCCCCTCACTCTAAAAAAAAATAAATAAATAAAATCTTTTAAAAATATATAAAGGGAAAAAAGGGACATACATATGTATGATCAAATGTATGATAAATACTTATCAATAATCACTTTAAATGTAAATGGATTAAATGTTCCAGTCAAAAGACAAGCAAATTGGATAAGAAAACAAGAGCAACATACATGCTGTCTACAAGTGACCCAACCTCAGATCAAAAGACACACACAAACTGAAAGTAAAATGATGGGAAAAGTTATTCCATGCAAATAAAAACTGGAGTAGCAATACTTACATCACACAATAAAGACTTGATTGATTGATTGATTGATTGATTTCAGAGAGAGAGGGGAAGAGAGAGAGAGAGAAGCATTTATTTGTTGTTCCAACTATTTATGCATTCATTGATTGCTTCTTGTATTGCCCTAACCAGGAATTGTACCCATAACCTTGGTGTATTAGGATGATGCTATAACCAACTGAGTTACCTGGCTAGGGCCAGACAATGTAGACTTTAATATGAAAGCTATAATAAAAGACAAAGAAGGATATCACATAACAATAAAAGGATCAGTCCAACAAAAGGATGCAACCCTCGTAAACATTTATGTACCCAGTATAGAAGCACCTAAATACATAAAGCAAGTCTTGATGGGCATAAAGAGAGAGAGATCAACAGTAATACGATCATAGTAGGAGACTTTAATACCCCATTGACACCAATGGACAGATCTTCCAGGCAGAAAACCAACAAGGAAACAGGAGCCTTCAATGACACAGCAAACCAAATGAATTTAGTTGACATTTCAGAGCATTTCACCCAGATCAGCAGAATACACATTCTTTTCAATGTACATGGAACACTTTTCAGGACAAACCACATGTTAGGCCACAAAACAAGTCTCAATAAATTAAAGAAGACTAAAATCGTAATGAGCATTTTCTCTGACCAGAATAATTTGAAAGTAAAAATCAATTACTGGAAACATGCTAGAAAACACACAAACACCCAAAGGCTAAATAATGTGTTATTATACAATGAATGGATTAACAAGACATCAAGGAAGAAATCAAAAGACACAAATGAAAATGAAAATACAACAACCAAAATTTGATGGAACACAGCAAAGTAGTCCTAACAGGGAAATTCATAGCAATACAGGCCTACCTCAAGAAACTAGAAAAATTTCAAATAAACAATCTAAGCTTACATCTAAACAAAATAGAAAAACAACAAACATGGCCCAAAGGGAACAGAAGGAAGAAAATAATAAGATCAGAGCAGGGCTGGTTCTT